CCTGTGATGTGGTCGAGTTCTGAGGTCACATCAACAGTGCCAGAAATGTCATGAAAGTTCAGTAGTATTTGATTTCTCTCTGGTGGTCATGAAACATCTCTTGAATTTAACTGTGTGATATTTTACTGTTTAATGCATTAAAAAATTATCATACATTTGTTGGTCACGGTATAATAATTATTAATATATGTATTGTAATAATAATTATTACAATACATATTTGATAATAAAATGTGTTTAAAATGATTGTCAAAACATTGATATATAATGCTTTAAATTTTGAGTTAGCTGACTTTAACGGTTCTTTATATATATGCTCTTTCGGGTCATTTATCCGCCCCTATATACAACATTAACGGCATCATAATATCCTGTTTTAATTCCAAACTGAAATAAATGAACTTTTCCACGACATTCTAATTTATTGAGATGCACCTGTATATATATAACAAAAGCATTCCATTTCACTCGACGCAAAACAAATCCTTATATATAATGGCGCCTCGCGTTTTGTATTTAACATTTGTACCACTGCGCTTGCCGTAGTTGTTTGGAACATGTGGACGATCAAGTGTTCACTCATAGACATAATTATGTCTATGTGTGCACTGCTGTGAAATCAGAAATAACATAAACTACAAGCAGGGTATTACATACGTGACGGTTGGGGTGAGTGTAATATTATTTTAGAAAGACAATTAATAGAAAACAAGCATGTATTTATATTTGCGTATTAGCTTATACAATACTTGATCAATAATTTACACTTGAAAGTGTTTGATCTCGGATTCTGGTTATACACACGATTTGTTGGAAAGAACTGTGATTACCATGGTAAAACCATGGTATTCTTTGAAATACCGCAGTACATGCATGTTGTATTCATTCAGCCCTTAGCATATAGCAAAGTATTACACTGGTCAAACTGAGTTGTATGTATGCTTGTATTGTTACAGGTGGGCATCATGGCTGGTCAGGCTCCGTCTGTGGCGAGGGCTGCAGTGTTGAAGGAGAGCATCGCTCTGCCGGAGGACATGCCTCAGATTAAAGGTTATGACTTCAACCAGGGCCTGGACCACAAAGCCCTGCTGCAGTCCTTCCTCACCACGGGCTTCCAGGCCAGCAGCTTCGGCCAGGCTGTGCAGGAGATCAATAAGATGGTGAGGGTCAGCAGACTGTTGGGTGCTTATGCAAGTGACCCATCTTTTAAACATTACATTTTTGTTGTTGTTGTTTTTGAAAATATTTGAAAGTCTCTTATGTTCACCAAGACTGCATTTATTCAATAATACAGTTAAAACTATCATATTGTGAAATATTATTGCAACTTAAAATAACTATTGAAATATATTTTAAAATGTAATTTATTCCTGTGGTGCAAAGCTGCATTTTTAGCATCAATTAATCCAGTCGTCAGTGTCACGTGATCTTATTATTAGCAATATTGAAACCAGTTGTGCCACTTGATATTTTGTGGAAACGGTTATACGCTGCTATTCAAGAATTTGGTAAATAGACTAACACATTTATGCAGCAAAGGTGCAATAAATTGATCAAAAGTGACAGTAAAGATATTTATAATATTACAAAAGAGTCTACTTAAAAAAGTGCTGTTCTTCTGAACTTCTATTCATCAAAGAATCCTGAAAAAATGATCAGTTTCCACAAAAATATGAAGCAGCATTAACTGTTTTCAATATTGATAATAATAAGAGCATTAATAATTGAGCATCAGTAATAACTAATAATAAATGAGCATCAAATCAGCATATTAGAATGATTTCTGAAGGGTCATGTGACACTGAAGACTGGAGTAATGATGCTGAAAATTCAGCTGCGCATCACAGAAACAAATTACATTTTAATAAATATTAACATACTGCAGTAAAAAGTTGTTTTAAATTGTAATAATATTTCACAACTACTGTGTTTTTTTAGTAATGCAGCCTGGGTGAGCAGAAGAGACTGTAAAAAAAAAATCGATTTACATGGGTTGTTATTTTGTTATCTTATGCAGTGTCCATATACTTTTTGGGAGCCACTATAATATTCATATTTTAAGGTACATCAAATACTGATCTAATAATTTGTTTTTGTTTTATGTTAGGAAAGGAGCACTGTGTAATCTATACGTATACTACAATTCAGCACAACCTTAGCAATCAATTCTCACTTATTTCCTAATCTCAGTCTTGTAGCTATTAAAATCATCCACTAAATGGCATGACTACAAGTGTCCCAGCTCCTGCATTGATTGTTTGTGATGTCTGGTGTGTGTGTGTGTGTGTGGTTGGAGTAGATAGAGAAGAGACTGGAGCTGGTGCAGGAGGAGCATGAGAGCTGTGATTCACATACGTCTGCCTCTGGATGCACCATTTTCTTGGGCTACACATCCAACCTGATCAGCTCCGGTGTGCGAGAGAGTATCCGCTACCTAGCACAGCACAGAATGGTACAGCCAGCCCCGTGACTCTGAATAAGCACTATTATGTTTCATGATTTATTTCAGCTAATAACATCTGTCTAGGTCAGCCACTATCTATTCAGTTCTTATAAAGTGCTAATAATCTATTAATTTTGAATTCAGTATTCATGTTTTTGTAGGTAGATGTGATAGTGACCACAGCAGGAGGGATTGAGGAAGACTTTATAAAATGTTTAGCACCCACTTACCTCGGTGATTTCAGTCTAAAAGGCAAAGAGCTACGACAGCAAGGCATTAATAGGTAAGAAAACGGTTCCGCATACATTTTTATATGTAATTATTAATGCATATAATTATATTTTGTGTCTCAGAATAGGTAATCTTCTGGTACCAAATGATAATTACTGTAAGTTTGAAGACTGGCTGATGCCTATTCTGGACCAAATGGTGCTAGAACAAAAAACAGAGGTGAGAATTATTTTATTTCATTTCATTTTATTGAGGTGGTTAAATATTTGTAAAAATGCTCATTCTGAACCAAAATGTGCTGAAACAAAAACAGAGGCGAGACATTTTTTTTATTTTATAATTGGGGTGGTGAAATATTTGTAAAATTGTCCAGAAACTGGTATGTGTTTTGTACTTTGATGTTTAAATTAAATTAAATTACTTTTTTTAAATTAAATTGGGGTGTTTAAATATTTGTAAAAATGCCCATTCTGGACCAAATGGTGCTGGAACAAAAATAGATGCGAGAAATTAAATTTAATTTAGTTTAGTCTCTGTAAAAATGCCCATTCTGGACCAAAATGTGCTGGGGGAAAAATAAGGAGGTAATAATTTAATTTAATTTAATTTTTTAAAAATTATTAATTAATTTTTTTTTTATTAAATTTGGGTTGTTAAATATTTGTAATTGTTTGGTATTTCATTTGTACTATGATTTTATGAGTGTGATGCATTTAAATTTATTAAACAAAAAATGATTTAATGTGGCCCAACATTTGACTTATATGTTGAAGTTTTGTTTTGTGAGTGAGACTAATAATAAATGTCTTTTAATCAGGGCACACACTGGACACCGTCCAAAATGATTCACAGACTAGGCAAAGAAATCAACAACCCAGACTCGGTGTACTACTGGGCTTATAAGGTAACGTTTGAATTAAACGCATACAAATCACCTTCACCTCAGTCCTTCCTCAAATTCCAAACCTGTTAATGATTGCATGCTTGTCTTTCAGAATGACATCCCAGTGTTTAGTCCCGCCCTCACTGACGGCTCATTGGGTGATATGATCTATTTCCACTCATATAAGAACCCTGGCCTGCTGCTTGACATTGTGGAGGGTGAGTCGCTCAAGATATGATACGAATGCAGATCTGGAGATTGACATAATTGTCATTATGGTAATTTTGTATACTTCAGATATCCGGAGGTTGAACAGCAAGGCTGTGTTTGCCAAGAGCACAGGGATGATCATTCTCGGAGGAGGACTCGTCAAACATCACATCGCCAACGCTAATCTCATGGTAAACACATGAACCCAAAAAAGCAAAATCACGTTGAGTTTGAAAATAGAACATGATGCTTTTCTCATCTGTTTTCATCCGTCTTAGAGGAATGGAGCAGATTTTGCGGTGTTTGTCAACACTGGTCAGGAGTTTGACGGCTCCGATTCAGGCGCTCGGCCAGATGAAGCCATTTCTTGGGGAAAGATCCGCATGGACGCCTCACCTGTAAAGGTAAGATTCCCATATGAATCATATGTTAGCATGCTCTTGTTATCTTATGTTGCCAGTTTTAAATATGATGTATATACACTCATAGCATATGATGATCTGGTTAACTGTGTCGTTGTGTTTGTGTGCAGGTCTACGCTGATGCTTCTATAGTCTTTCCACTTTTAGTGGCTGAAACTTTTGCACACAACGCCAGCAGGTTGATCAAGGAAAAGACGAGCGATTGAAGGTGTTTTTCTCTTGTGAAACCTATTTAAAAACTTCACCCCTCCTCGCAGTCTTCCTGTTTGCTTGTTTTTCAGTGCAGATGGTTTTAAAGCTCTATTTAAATGCATAAAATCATGTATAGTTACCCATTTAAACAAACAAACATCTTAGTTTCTTATGGTCTTAGTGTACTAAAGTCTGGTCAGATATGTTCAAAGACAACTTTACAAGGTTATCTTTAAAGTTGGATTATATTATATATAATTTTTAGTTTACTAGCATTTATGTTTAATTTTGTACCTCTTTGAGGTGGTACAATGTGTATTTTATTGTATTGCATCCCTCACTGTTATGCACAACTTGTGCTGTTTGTCTGTATGTTTATGCTCTCAATTTTCAGATGAAAAAATGTAAATGTCACCATTGGGACTACATTATTTTTATTATTATATGACTGTTAAAACGCATGGACAATAAATGAATCATCAACACCTAATGGGATATTGAATAGAATGCGTAATAAACTAGTTTTATTTTTATTTCTTAACAAATTTTTTTTGAATGTACGTATATATATATTTTATAATATTTAATTGCATAAATATAAAATGTATATTATAACCCAGACTCGGTGTACTACTGGGCTTATAAGGTAACGTTTGAATTAAACGCATACAAATCACCTTCACCTCAGTCCTTCCTCAAATTCCAAACCTGTTAATGATTGCATGCTTGTCTTTCAGAATGACATCCCAGTGTTTAGTCCCGCCCTCACTGACGGCTCATTGGGTGATATGATCTATTTCCACTCATATAAGAACCCTGGCCTGCTGCTTGACATTGTGGAGGGTGAGTCGCTCAAGATATGATACGAATGCAGATCTGGAGATTGACATAATTGTCATTATGGTAATTTTGTATACTTCAGATATCCGGAGGTTGAACAGCAAGGCTGTGTTTGCCAAGAGCACAGGGATGATCATTCTCGGAGGAGGACTCGTCAAACATCACATCGCCAACGCTAATCTCATGGTAAACACATGAACCCAAAAAAGCAAAATCACGTTGAGTTTGAAAATAGAACATGATGCTTTTCTCATCTGTTTTCATCCGTCTTAGAGGAATGGAGCAGATTTTGCGGTGTTTGTCAACACTGGTCAGGAGTTTGACGGCTCCGATTCAGGCGCTCGGCCAGATGAAGCCATTTCTTGGGGAAAGATCCGCATGGACGCCTCACCTGTAAAGGTAAGATTCCCATATGAATCATATGTTAGCATGCTCTTGTTATCTTATGTTGCCAGTTTTAAATATGATGTATATACACTCATAGCATATGATGATCTGGTTAACTGTGTCGTTGTGTTTGTGTGCAGGTCTACGCTGATGCTTCTATAGTCTTTCCACTTTTAGTGGCTGAAACTTTTGCACACAACGCCAGCAGGTTGATCAAGGAAAAGACGAGCGATTGAAGGTGTTTTTCTCTTGTGAAACCTATTTAAAAACTTCACCCCTCCTCGCAGTCTTCCTGTTTGCTTGTTTTTCAGTGCAGATGGTTTAAAAGCTCTATTTAAATGCATAAAATCATGTATAGTTACCCATTTAAACAAACAAACATCTTAGTTTCTTATGGTCTTAGTGTACTAAAGTCTGGTCAGATATGTTCAAAGACAACTTTACAAGGTTATCTTTAAAGTTGGATTATATTATATATAATTTTTAGTTTACTAGCATTTATGTTTAATTTTGTACCTCTTTGAGGTGGTACAATGTGTATTTTATTGTATTGCATCCCTCACTCTTATGCACAACTTGTGCTGTTTGTGTATTTTATTTTGTCTGCATGTTTATGCTCTCAATTTTCAGATGAAAAAATGTAAATGTCACCATTGGGACTACATTATTTTTATTATTATATGACTGTTAAAACGCATGGACAATAAATGAATCATCAACACCTAATGGGATATTGAATAGAATGCGTAATAAACTAGTTTTATTTTTATTTATTAACAATTTTTTTTTGAATGTACGTATATATATATTTTATAATATTTAATTGCATAAATATAAAATGTATATTATATATAAAATATTTAATTAATTTTAATTAAAATGTGCTGCTTGTGGAGTACAATCTGGATGTTAATACTTTCAATTTTCAGATTAAAAAAACAATTGGTAAAAAAAATCACTATGGAGAGTGCGTTTACTCCATAACTTACATTTATTTTTTATTATATAGCTGTTAAAATGCATGGACATGAATTAAGAGAGTTGAAAGAGTTAAATAATTTAGTTTTCATCTGTAAAAACATGATGCATCTTTATTGCTCTGTCACTTTAAGGCCAGCAGAGAGCAGTCCTGTTTCATTAGCTGTAATCCAACAGTCTCCCGATCCACTACTGTACAGTTCTGTTATTCACAAGAGACTCTGATTTACTTCGTTTGGCCTGGCCTGTATAAACGGTTTAATTGCAGTGAGAAACTGTAGAGATTTATACTGTACTTAGCAGTTGTGTTGAAAGCGGTAGTCGGCATGCGCTGTGATAACATTTGCTCAGCTTTAGCAAATGTACAAATCAAGTGTTTTGACCAAATTGATCTATTGAATGTGTTGGTTTTGTTAGCCTAGTGTCAAACTTCCTTTCGCACGTTTGAACTTACTGCGATAAGTAATCTGTCGTGAACTAAATAGTGCATATCTGAACTTGCATGCAATGCATGCCATTGTCTCAGGTTTTGTTTTCTTCTTTTATTTAAGACAGGTTGCTGTTTTTGCAAGTCAGATAAATGGGCGTACTTAAGTAGATGCCACATGAAACAAACTCATGTATAGGCTACTGACATTTTAATAAAAAAATTTTACATTCACATTTATGCATATTTAGTAGATGCATTAATATGAAGTGACACATTTCAAGACAGCATCAAATATATCCAGCATATATTTCCTTCGATCCTGTTTGTTTCAGTACACTAGCCAGGACACTGAATTTGAGCTGATCTTACCCAGCAGCACATTAGGACACATTCCAGTAAAACGTTCCCCCATGTTATGGATTTCCATTTTTCCCCATTATTGTCCCATTTGGAAATGCTCTCCTGCTCTTAAGTGTTTGCTTTACTGGCATGAATGTTTATTAAAGTCCTGCAGAAGATGAGTTGTGCGTTACACTGGAGACATGGCTTTTTCCTAACCCTATACAATTTATTATGTGTGTGGAAGGATTTATCAAGAGGAAATTTACACAAAGGCTGTGAATGGAAAAGTATGAACACCAGCTGTCTTACGTGAAGTCCTCTTGCCTGTTTGTATTCTTTCTTAGAAGAAAAGCCTGGCCTGGAAGACTTTAAAAATCCCCTTTAAACTAATGTTGATTTAATGAGATATATATCCTGAGACTGAGAATTCATGAAATCAAATACTGAAAATAAAAATAATATATAATAGGAAAAATTACTTCAATAATTCGACAATGCTTTTGACATTAAAAGGTTTAAATACTGTTAATATATTACTTTCTACTACTACTTTATATATATATATATATAAAAAAAAAACTTTTAGAATTTTAGAATCTTCACTAATGTCCCTTCCTTATTTTTTAAGTGGACTTTTTAGTGTATCAGTTCATCAGTTTATCTTTTTTTTTAAATAAATGACAAATGATATTTTGTATGTAAATGCAATGACACTCGTGCATTTTTACGCATTTTTAAGGTGATTCTTCTCTGCACTCTATTGCAGTATTTCCTGACTGAATTATGAGCCAACAGGATGACAGCAGCTTTCCTCCATTCATCTCTCAGCACATGGTCTCTGCAGTCGGCACTGGGACAGAAAGTAAAAGTGGCAGAATAATTGGGATTTTTCTCATTCATCCGGGACTGAAGGCCTGTGTGTTCATACAGCTCTCCACACAATGCAGCATGCAGCGCACAGCAGAATGATTTTCACAGAATTTCAATACAATTCTTCAACCAAAACCCATCTTCAGTTTACTGAAACAATATAACATGATGTCACAAGCCTACTCCCCTTTCTTACAAATCATAAACGCATTATTACATTATAATTACCATGTAAGAACATGCAGAACTTGTTTGAAGCAAAACATGAATATCAAAGTACCATCTGATACCATCAGTGCACATGATAATTGTTGCAAACACTAACAGTTATATGAAATGTAGGCAACTATATGAACTCTTCTCTATATAATAGCAATCCTGGATCTTACACCACACCTGCTTTTAATTTATTTGACTTTAAGACTTTAGAAAAGCATATAGAATAGTTCATTATTAATAAGTGACAATTTCCGGAGTATTTCATCAGAAACTCTCCCTGCCTGTGTTATGCGGGATGGTCCCACAAAACACACACACACACACACATTCACACACACACACACACACA